TCAAAAAAATTAGATTTTTCATATGTTTTACTATTGATCAGCAGATTTCGGCAAGTACTTTTGGCCAGTGAGTGTATTTTATGAGGGTATATGAAGTATATGATTGTTTTAAGGTTGAATGCTAGTTACATTTTGGCCTGAGTAACAGTTGTGAATAATCAAAATATCACTAGTCAAATTAGTTAACCTTCAGCCACACCAGCCTCTCATTTATGTCACATAATAAATGTTGTCTACCCCATATTAATATGTATAGCACGTATACTCACACTTCATCAAGATACTGATTTATAACAATATATACAATTTTTTTGTTATTATTTTCGAAAAGCACAATCAATTAACTTCCGAACCATACAAAAAATATTATCCTTCGTATAGTACACATGTACCGGAGAGATTTTTGAAAAGAAAGACATTCCATGTTTTACTAGTAAATTTTGGGGGTGCCCCGTGACTACTGTACAACGAGAATGGTCGCTTATCTTGACGGCATGCTTTGAATCAAATTAACATGAGTGCTTTTTCCAAGCTCTTCCCAAAAACTTTTATTTTAAGCTTCTTAATATCATAGAAGGCAAAATAAAAGTTATGATCTTGCGACGTCAGTCAATCAAAACCTTGTCGTTGTATTTTTAATAACAAAACGAAAAGTGTAAACAAATAAAAAAAATGACACAAGTAACAAAGTTATGTGACCGAGTTTTTTGTCGGTGTTACATACGTAAGAACAGAACGCACAAAGCGTATTTTGGAAGGAAATAAAGCTTATTATTATGCATTTTATTCCGAAAACTTTTTTCGCGCACTGTACCTGTAACTTACCTGCTTATTATTTTTGTATTTGCGTCAACATTGTTTTTATTTAATAAAAATTCATTTGACGGGAAGAATAATAATAAATGTCTATCATACAAAAACCCATGTTCATTCCATTCCTTGATGTCATTCATCCTACTCAGCATCATAAACAGCAACAAAACTAAAATAGCCTTGACCACCATTGGCAAAAGCCAGTTTCCATTGTCCCTTGCTGTCTATTTTTATTTCACTAGCAAACAAATAGCTTCTCTCTTCCTCATCAAACCGAAGCTTTTCCATTCGTTCCCGTCTGGCTGATGATGGATCCATGACACAAAAATCAGGAAGAGTACTTTGATCGTCCGTGAATATTAGTATCTCAAAACGTACTTTGCGGTTAATAGTGATTGTTTGATAGACTGGCGAGAGTATCGAAAAGGTAAAAGGAACGGAATATGTTTGCACAAATGGGCGATAGCTGGAACCTGTGCCATGGTTTATTACCTTAAATGCACCGGCTAAGGGACCGCTCTGTTACGTACAGACGAAAATAAAAATTAAGTTATAACAGATTCAATGCTGTAACTGCATAAAAAGTTATCAAGTACTTATGTTCCGAATCGATGACATTATATGTACTCACCCCACTCTTTGGCAAAACGAAATAGTTTAGCTTGCCTTCTCCACTGCTTGGTATTCCGCAATACATGTTATATATCCTTCCACCCCTCTCCCCACGTCCTTCCATTCTCTGCACCAAAACCTCCACAGCCTGCCCATACCATTCCAGTTTACCCATTAACCAACTCCCATCGTCTTCAGCGCACCACTCAAGTTGAACTACAAACCAATCATCTTGTACCTCTATCACAGCCGGCGGAAACTTTACGAATTGCAATCCCGCTATAAAGAAATCGGCTTTAACATGAGGCATATCTCTAAAAGTTGACAAAGAAATAGGCGGATATATATATTGTTCAGACGGTTTATCTGGGAAATGAGAGTAGATCAATTTCATTGGAGAGATAAGAAAATAAAATGGTTTGAAGGCCCGCGTAAAGGTTTGGTTGTTGACGCTTCCTGATCCCCAGGTTGAGTCTATCAATAGGTATTCGCCGTCAAGGAGAACAGCATTCCAAGCATGAGGATGGTTTTTAATTGGATCGCCCGGTTCATATCCAGCACCTGCACGCGGTAATCGGGAGAAATGTATGATGGAAGGGTAAGCAAAGGAACTATCATATTAATATACTTTGGACACTTGACTACCATATGAATAATGAATGTACACAACTTGAATGCATCCATATCATTTCTGTACTATAGAATACATACGTTCTCTCACTTAAACCTTATAAACTCACCTTTAGCTTGGCCAGTAACTTGCCAGACTCTGAGTCCAGCTTTATGTGCCAGCGCATCAAACAGGTTACTATATCCGGCACATACAGCAGTTCGTCTACGTAACACATCGTTAGCCCCATTAGGTAATTGACGACCTGGCTCATGTTTGGTCATATACAAAAGACAAATGATGCAATTTAAAGTTGCATGAGGTCAGACATCACAATGTATCATCCCTTGCGTCCAGCGCTAGTCGAACTTTTTTTTTCTTCATTATACCATTTTTATCTCAGTTTCTAGACACTTTGGTTCGCCTACTTGTCTTTCATTCAACTCACCGGCGAAAAAACTAGCAGTGTCATACGCAATATTTAGCGCAATCCAAGTAAATATACACCTTAGTTTGTAGATATCATAATCCCATGCCGAAGTAAGATACTCTGACAATCTATCTATAGATGAACTCTCAGTTGCCGGCGCATCGCGTGCCCAGTCATCGATGATGGAGAAATCAATTACGGAGCAATCGAGACAACCTTCGAAGTCCTCCTCCAAGACAGGATTACAGTTAGCGAGAGGGTCTTCGCGGTCTGAAGCATCCGTAATGGATTCCGGGACGGATTCAATCAGACTCTCGGTTAATTTCGGTTTAGAAGAGTTCAGGCTAGACGCAGTTGACGTTGATGAGGAACGGGATGGCAGCGAAGCTTTTGGTCGGGTAACTGGGCGTTGTGGTAAGTCTACTGGTTTGGAATTAGTATTAGTTCGAGCGATGTACGAAGATCGGTCCTGTTGAGAGGGCTTTACACGCTGTGCAGAACGATCATGCTTCTTTGGATGTTCATCTTGTGAAGAACGATCATTATTTGAGTGCGTCGGCTCTCGAGACAAATTAGATGATGGTCTCTGCATAGTTGATTGTCTGCGAGAAGGAGTTGTTATCTGTGAAGAGACCACTTCGACAAATTTCTTGGGAAATGATCCAAATTTGTTAGAGTTTATTACAGCACCATTCCACCAATCATCATTTTCTACAATGAATTTGAAAGTATAGAGTTAATAGCATGAAAGGTAAATATCGAAAGGAATAGCATTTCACCAAGTATGCAGGTCTATGTCAATTTATTCAGCTTGTCATGTTTTGCTCTACAAGCGCCAAATTGATGGCATTCAACCCCAAACTCCATTTCTCGATCCATACCGATGCCCAAGACATCAATAATTTCACCCTCTTCAAAACTCAAGTCCATGCCATGTCCACTATGATATGCAGTCTTGGCTTTTACTGTATACAAAGGTTGCCAGAGCAGACTTTCCCAGTCGGTTGCCATGACTTGACACAAACAACCAGTGGGACAAGTAGTGATCGGAATACTAGCGTTAAGGGCATTTATTTATTCAGGTAAAACACATTCTCGGAGTATAGCTCCAGAGTGTGCCAGAGAAAGTCACATGAATAGGCTTGCTATTGGATGACGATAATAATAATAATTTTTTATTAAAAACATGGCTATTACTATCACTATGTTTCGATTTCGCTTAATCTGCCACAATTATTATGAAGGAGGCTTACAAATTGAAAGACTCACTTGGTGTTAAAAAATTGGTGCTTCTTAACGTATATGAACTGTGATGTTCTTGGAAACGTTTATAGTTTTTAGCATTATACGCGTTTTAATAAGAAAATATCACTTGCAACGTGCATTATTACATAAACGACGACTGAAACTTGTACGAAAATACAGCTCTTTTCGTCACACACGTAGGCTGTTATATCAGAACTAGTACACTGACGTCTACGTGCTATTTATTAGTATAATAAATTTGTCATGATGGTCAATTAATTGCACAATGAAGCAGTGCTAGTACTAGGGAGATAGTGTGAAAGAGGTTGTGGCAAATAGCCTTTGCCGTGATATGCGGAAAATCCCTTCTTTCTAACACGTGCCGTAAAGGAATGCCACTGGGACGGAGCTAGCTTCACAGCAAAACATACGCTGCAGAAACAAAAACAATTTGCGGAAAATTTTTCTAAACAGGCACGAACAAGAAAGAATTGTAAATAGAATATAATAATTCAAATCATTAAACTGTTTTTCCGTAAACACGCGGCGCAAAATGACGACAGCTTAGGCAAGAAAAACTGACGTTTATTTTGTATAATAATCAACGCGTCAAATACGGCATTGGTATAGAGAAAAACAACCCTTTTTAATAAAGTTCCGCCAGATATAAAAAGTATACGTTTTTGGCAATCGTCGTTGTTCAAAATAATTCTGAGAGAAAAGTTTGTCAAGTTGTTAATTATGTGAGACGTTTCAAGCTCTCTCTAGACTCGAGCAAGATAAATTTTGATGGTACAATTTGGGGCAATAAGCGTCTTAAGAAACGCTAATAAGAAAGTTGCTGTTATGAATCACAATATGCCTTTTGCCAGAAAACATATCACGGTATGCTAGGCTTACTATTACCTCAAATCACGCTGTTATTTCAGCCATATTACCGACAAAAATGTCTACTTAAAAATAAACAAAAAAAAAGTCAAATTGATCAAAAACCATCAAGTAGAGAGTACTTGGACTCAGAAAATTAGAGAACAAAATGCGCTATATATGAGATATTCAAATAATGTCACTGGAAATAACCTCTCCCCATAGAGAATTTTAGTTCGGGAATGTTTCTATCATTAACATTAATCTGTAAATATTTTCTATCACCGTTCCGTTGAAAACAAGACAATTCCAATCGATCGTTTGACAATTTTTATAGTTATTATTGTACAGCAAGTTTGTTTAGAGAATATAAGAATGCATTTTCCTTATTCATATAAAGAGGGAATATATATTTAAAAAGTTTGCTCATTTTCCCAAACAGCATGTAAATTTTGTAATGCAGATGTTGTACCTCAGTTGGGGGCTCTCAGTTCTGGACTGAGTGACTGGGTTCCGAACTGAGATAGATTCCCAACTCAGACACAACAGAGAGTATACGAAGGCGCCGTCCAGGCATAGTTTGGGTAACGCGTAAGTCACGAGTCTGCAAAATTTTGGTGACACATTCAATTCCAACTTTTTATTATTTTTAAAATTTTTTTTTGAGGAATGATTTACGACTTGTCCGTAATGCAGAAATATTGCACAAATAAACGATTGATTCTCCATGGCTTGATCAAACTTAGAAACTTTCACTCGGTGACAAAATATAGCATACTATATCAAAAATATGATAACGCAGAGCTCGGTCGAAAATGGGATGATCGATTTCCAGCTAGTGAGGGGGGAGAACGAAGGGGGAGATTCAATGATCGGTTTAAATCTAATGATAGAGTAGAAAGAAGGGAAAGGGTGGGTGATCGATTTAAATCTATTGAAGGAGAAGAGCGACGGGGGAGATTCGATGATCGTTTTAGATCGAACGAAGGAGAAGAACGCGGTGGCAGATGGGATGGTCGGTTTAAATCTAATGAAAGAGAGGATCGGAGAGAAAGATTTGATGATCGTAATGACGGAGAAGAAGGGGGGAGGAGATGGGATAATCGGTTTAATTCTAAAGAAAGAGAAAATCGAAGCGGAAGGCGGGATGATCGGTTTAAGTTTAACGATAGAGAAGAATCTGAACTCAGTACGAGATTTGGTGACCGATCTAGATCTATTGATGGAGAAGAACGAAGGGGACGATGGGACAATCGGTTTAAACTCGATGACAGTAAAGAACTCGGCGGAAGATGGGGCGATCGGTTTAAATCTAATGATAGAGAAGGTCGAAGCGGAAGACGGGATGATCGGTTTAAACCTAACGACAGAGAAGAATTCAATACAAGGTCGGATGATCGACTTAGATCTAACGAAGGAGAAGATCGAAAAGGACGATGGGATGATCGGTTTAAACCTGACAATAGAGAAGAACTCAATACAAGATCGGATGATCTTAGATCTAACGAAGGAGAAGATCGAAAAGGACGATGGGATGATCGGTTTAAACCTGACAATAGAGAAGAACTCAATACAAGATCGGATGATCTTAGATCTAACGAAGGAGAAGATCGAAAAGGACGATGGGACGATCGGTTTAAACTTAGTGAAAGAGAAAATCGAAGAGAAAAATGGGACGACCGCTTTAAAGCTAATGACGGAGAAGAACGGGGCAGATGGAATGACCGATTTAGATCTGATGAAGGAGAAGAACGAAAGGGAAGGTGGGATGATCGCTTTAAATCTATTGAAGGAGAAGAACGAAGGGGAAGATCCAATGATCGGTTCAAGTTTAATGATAGAGAAGAACGAGGAAGAAAATGGGGTGACCAATTTAAATCTCATGAAGCGGAAGAACGGATTGACCGGAAAAAGAAAGAGGATCCATACTTGTCAAAGGAACCAGAACTCAAAATTTATCACTGGAAGGGTCGTGGAAGTAAGAAAGCAGCTTTGGGTGAGAGCAATAAAATGGACTTTGATCCGGAGACCATTGAAGCTCGTCGCTTGTGGCGGGCGAAATTCGAATATAATCACGAGTATCCTGAAGAACTTACTCGAGTGCACGGGGTTACAAACCCAAAAATTATTCATCTTCAGAAACTTCGTGAAAACCGTCAATATCGAGAGGAAGTGAAGCAGCTTACCGTTCAAGGCGAAGCGAATGTTCGTGCTCTACATCAACGAGGTATCCCGATTACTAGTTTATATATAACCGCCCCATATAAGCCTAAAACAAAATACGAGATTCAACCGCCAGCATTGGATTACATTAAGAATCCTCGTCAAATACCGGCGGATCAATACTACCTGATTAACATTGATATGGCAAGGAAAGTGTTAGGGACAGCAGCAAGGCCAGAGGATCATGACATTTTTGCCGAAATTTCTCATCCTGATATTCCGCTTCCTACAGATAAAAAATTAGATAAAGTGTTAATCATGGATGGTGTCAACGAGGCGACAGATGTTGGCTCTTTGATAAGAACAGCCAAGGCACTCGGATATGATGGATCATTTATGGGCGAGAAGACTTGTGATTTATACGACGACTTTGTTCAGAGATTTAGTGGGTTCCATTCGATAACATGGCCTCATACAAGTGGCGACACTGAGAAATTGTATAACCTTTTACATGAGAATGATCTCAGTCTTGTCGTTGTTCAAGTCATGCCAAGTAATCAACCAAATCCGCCACCGAGGAAGCTTATTGATGATTCGAATCTTTTGTTCTGGACATTACCTCGTGATCTTGATGCTCCATTTCCTAAAAAGATTGCTACGTATATATCCGTCACCGGACCGCGACCATTGTTAAACCGACTCGTAGCTGATGAGAAAAAGAGGCATAATATATGGTATGTCAGTATACCTATGAAACCAGAGGTCTCTAAAATGGACATTAGTGCTGCCGGTGGGATTGCTATGTTTGAGATAGAAAGAGTATTGGCAAGAAGCAATTAAATTTGTGCCTCTTAACCAAATCAATTTGTAATATCATTCATTTCTTAAACAAAGTCTTAGAAAACTGTTGTAAATAATTGACACGTTGTGCAAGCATTTCATGATTTCTCCTAAAACGTCAGACTTTAACTGGTTTAATAGCCATGAAAATAAAATAGATACGACTCAAGACGACATAAATAAGTTTGTGCGGTCAGTTTTTACTTGGCACATAAAAAAAGTATCCGTTTTGGGGACCAATTAAAAGCTCTGCTTCTTGTGTACGCGTCTTGTTATTGTTACGCGAGGTAAATATCAGACTTTCTTTGCCAGCTTTGTATGTCCAATTATTTGTGTATAGGGTATGAGAGGTTTAAAGAGGTACCGGAAATTGCATTAGAGTAGCAGACACATTATTGGCACTGTTTGCAAAATTACGGGCAAGCCAGAATCCACGGTTAGAACAATACTTAAACGATATGGAAATTTAAGCAAAAAACAAATGAGATTTCAGCTGCAACATCGCGCGATCATTTATGTAGAATTACACGCAATATTTCCCAAATGACTTATTTGTTCGATTAATTAGTTATATGATGCGAATTAGAAGTAATATTACAATTATTTATCGACATGTATATAAACAGCAGTTGAATCTTGGCGATTCAACATGTCCAGACATCACGTAATAATTAATAATGTCCCGGAAATATTCATATTAGGAGGCAAGCACTTTTCAGATATTCGTCAAACATAAAAGAAAGGAGAAAAGTGTAAATTCTGGTTGCATGGATGCGAGTACCTGTTCAGTGCTGGGCCATTGGGAGGGATACGTGGTAAAAAATGCCTGGTGTTGTTTCTAAATAATGCTAATTTATTACAAAATTGTGATGCTTCTCGTTTCTCGTGATACTATTCTTAATTGTGGTGGAATATGGAAACAGATATTCAGCATATTGTAATCACAAATTCGAAACTAAGAGGATGTCATCTCTCATGGACAAAGTCGATTTACTTGTGAGCTTTAATTAAATTTTAGCTTATCTTCTTCAACAAATGGTTGTATATTCCAGACCGCCACAAAGACGGTATTTTCTTGTTCTGTTATTTTGTGATATTGTATGCAGTTTGAAATGGTTTCCTATAGACAAAAAAAATCAGAGCTGGGGGGCCCACATGAACAGCAAACATTTGTACATGTAAACCAACCTTTAAGGTGTATTCTTGATCATACATTAAACACAAGTAGGCCACCTGATCTATAGTATTTACCAATGAATCCTGCTTATTGTATTGTAAGTACTTATATACCAATAGCGGGAGCAGAAATCTTAACGCCCACTCACTTGTACGGCCTCGGGTGGAAGTTGCTGGATGGCATCCACTATCTCATCATAGTATTTATACATTGTCCGTAGCTCATTGTGAACTATTAATCATGTAAATGAGATGCTGTACAGACGGCTTGTCAATGCTAATTAACCAGATAACCTACATTTGGCTATGGTATCATTTAAATCAGAGGACAGGTTCCCTGCTTGAAGCGAATGGCGACTGTCAATATATTCGTTGTGTGAATCTGTATAATATATCTGACTACTCACCTGTCTCCATCTTTTGTAAAATGTTTGCACCATTTTTATTTATTGTAGTCCAGTTTTTTATGCTTATTTTTCACAGTAACCTCTGGTGAGCTATTGTAAAGTAAATTGTAAAGTAAATTGTAAAGTATAGTACAACCATTACCTCTGTTCAAACAAGTTTAGAATTTTATTTATCTGGCTCGAACTATTGTTTCTCCGAGACATTTGTAGACGATCATCGAGCTGGCATGCCACAAATTAATTTAGTTCAAAGATTTCAAGCAGAAATGTAGTAAAAAATATCCGAATTTGGATAGCTTAAGAATTGGTCCCAAGGCATTGATGCGATGTTATCATATCAATTGTCTGCGATAGATTAACTGTCCTATTAACTGTCCTGCGACGAAAAGCTTCTAATTTACTATGCCGGGTGCAACTGTTCGGATTCACATACCACGGCAATTGTTTTTTCGCGCGCCAGTTGATTGGTTAATAGCCATAACTGACACAGTTCTTCCCAGAGAAAAGACAATCCATTGATCTTCAAGCTCATTAATGATGATGATAACAATATAGTCAAAACCAAAACTGTAACATATTTTCGTCTATTCAGTGATACCCTATGTCAAGAATAGTGGAATCACGTACCGTATACTGAGAGTTCAGAAAACATAATTTTCAAACTACACATGTATACAAATTTTAAAAAATTCATCGCTCAAATTAACACATCCAATTTGCAATAAGTATTTACTACAAGTGTAATTTATTCATGCGTAGATTAATCTTGACTTTCATAAATATCACCGAGATTCTTTTATGAAAGAATGTGCAGAAAAACGATCTTGCCGATATCCCTCCATCTTAGATGTATGTCTGCTTTATGTCTTTCAGAGAAAATTGTCATCTGGTTTGTTCCAGCAGTAGGATTGTTCGAGTATCTATGATTGATATGGGAAGTCGAAAATTGATGTCGAATAGTAATTAACAATAGAAAGTTTTCCAATCTGTTGGATTAAAAAGACGTTTACCTCAGGATCCACTCTTTGAGTCAAGCCGCTCCAGTTTCACAGTCATTATTGACGCGCTAGGCACAATCAAAACTGGACTCCAATCATTATTCGAGAATAAAAGGCCGATACTAATGAGACTTGCGTGTGTAGGTCTTTTTGTTGATTGATTGGATAATAGCATATAAATACTTAGCTAAAGTTGTCTCCGGCAATAATTCATATTGGCAAAAAAAGGAAGGCGAAGAGTGAAAGTTTAATAGACGATATCGAATTGCCATTAGACCAATTTGAAATTAAGTAATGATAACTGCTGTATATCAAACAAAATAGGAAACAACAGATGACTGATTGAAAATATGCATAAGCGATAATCCAGCGTTCTGATGGTTTAATAAAGAAATAACGACGGATGAAGACTTTATTACTATAAAGAATTTCTTTGCTCTGTCTAACTGTGAATTATCTCAATTACGGTCGCAAACCGTTAAGTCTAATTTATTATTGATTGCGCTCCTGCATTGCTGGTACGACAGAGTGGACTCGGGCTTATAACTAACGGACGTGGCATAATACTGCAATTAACTCCGGGAGAATAAATAGCATACAAGATTAATACCTGTTCGAGAATTTATTCATAACGATTCTTTATTTCTTATTACATTTGCATCCTGTATAAACTACTCTACGTTCCTAATTAGTGACAAATCCGTAAATCGATTAGTATAGTTCATGGCAAAGATAATATAATATTACTATCACTGACCGCGTTAATCCATAGAACAAGTATCTTCTGGTACACCTCAAAAGGAGGAATGATAATTCGCGGGTAAAAAGTGCGACACTCTTTTTATGTACTTCATTTTGCAGGTGTT